TTTGGGACGACATACTATACTATGACTTTTTTTCATCATTTTGGACGACATACTATACTATGACTTTTTTTCATCATTTTGGACGACATACTATACTATGACTTTTTTCATCATTTGGGACGACATACTATACTATGACCTTTTTTCATCATTTTGGACGACATACTATACTATGACTTTTTTGCATGATTTGAGACGACATACTATACTATGACTTTTTTTCATGACTTGGGACGACATGCTATACTATGATTTTTTTTCATGATTTGGGACAACATACTATACTATGACTTTTTTTTTCATCATTTTGGACGACATACTATACTATGACTTTTTTGCATGATTTGAGACGACATACTATACTATGACTTTTTTTCATGACTTGGGACGACATGCTATACTATGATTTTTTTTCATGATTTGGGACAACATACTATACTATGACTTTTTTTTTCATCATTTTGGACGACATACTATACTATGACTTTTTTGCATGATTTGAGACGACATACTATACTATGACTTTTTTTCATGACTTGGGACGACATGCTATACTATGATTTTTTTTCATGATTTGGGACAACATACTATACTATGACTTTTTTTTGCATGATTTTGGACGACATACTATACTATGACTTTTTTGCATGATTTGAGACGACATACTATACTATGACTTTTTTTCATCATTTTGGACGACACTATACTATGACTTGTTTTTCATGACTTGGGACGACATACTATACGATGACTTTTTTGCATGATTTGAGACGACATACTATACTATGACTTTTTTTCATCATTTTGGACGACATACTATACTATGACTTTTTTTCAGGAGTTGGGGCGACATACTATACTATGACTTTTTTCATCGTATGGGACGACATACTATACTATGACTTTTTTTCATCATTTGGGACGACATACTATACTATGACTTTTTTTCATCATTTTGGACGACGTACTATACTATGACTTTTTTGCATGATTTGAGACGACATACTATACTATGACTTTTTTGCATGATTTGAGACGACATGCTATACTATGACTTTTTTTCATCATTTTGGACGACATACTACTATGACTTTTTTCATGGTTTTGGACAACATACTATACTATGACTTTTTTTTTGCATGATTTGAGACGACATACTATACTATGACTTTTTTTCAGGAGTTGGGGCGACATACTATACTATGACTTTTTTTCATGACTTGGGACGACATGCTATACTATGACTTTTTTTCAGGAGTTGGGACGACATACTATACCATGACTTTTTTTCATGGTTTTGGACGACATACTATACTATGATGTTTGGACTTGAATGTGCAAATTAAGGAATTACAAAGATCTGTTCATCATACTGAGCTACCTTTCTGCTACACATCCTGTGATCAATCTCATCCAGAAAAAAAGTTTACCTTCACCAGTTATCTGGTTTGGATTACATTAACACGTAAACAATAAAAAGACACATTAAAAAAATATTTTATTGCCAAGTCAGGAGCTGATAGTTGACTTTGGGAAAAAGTAGGGACCTTAATGTCAACAGGTCATCAGTGTAGAGGGTGAACAGCATCAAGTACTATGTTGTCCACGTCACTGGTGGCCTGACCTGGGTGTTGCATACTATTCCGCCTCAGATGCTTGAAGAAACTCCAGAGATATCCAGATATCCCCTCAAATACTGAGGAATCCTGATGGGGATCCTCCATATGGAAACAGGCCCCCCAATCATACACATATTTCTTATTGCACTCTTTTTATAATGCACAAACTAGAGGAACTGAATTAACTTAACATTTCACTGGAATTGTACCTTATACAATAACACATGACAAATACATTGACAGAAGACCACAGAAGATTATTCCAATCCAGACTGTGAAGATTTTTCTTCTTTTTTTTTTGTGACTTTGGGTCTGTGGCAACTCCTCTTTTCTCTGCCTAATATATTTTTTTTTAACAAAGGAGTCCCTCATTTAAAAATACTTTATATGTTTTTAATATTCAACATGAAACATAGCAGTTAATGATAGAAGAGATGAGCGAAGACGTTTCTTCAGGTGGTCTTATGATGTTCCTCTTCTTTCCAGATGTCATCTATTGACACTGCACATCTAAAAATGGCAAAGACAAGCACCTCTCTTAACGAGTATTCATTTTAGTTAGCCCCACTTGTGTGATGTGCTTGTGACTATACTATGACATTTTTTCATGGCTTGGGATTACATGCAAAAAAGTCATAGTATAGTATGTCGTCCAAAAACATGAAAAAAAGTCATAGTATAGTATGTCGTCCAAAATCATTAAAAAATGTCAAGACATATACTATATTTCATGACGTCTTTTCAGGTTTTGGACGACATACTATACTATGACTTTTTTTCCCTGAGTTTTGAGGAGATACCATAATTTAATTCCCTTTTCACTACATTTTTATGACATACTAAACTATGACTTTTTTTCGCGGCATTTTGATGACAAACGATACTATGACATTTCTATCATAGTTTTCATGACATACTATACTTTTTTACACTACATTTTTCAGACATACTATGACTTTTGTTTGTCATATTTTTTGTGGCATACTGTACTATGACTTTTTTACAGCATTTTATTGACATACAATACTACAGAATGATATTTTTGACGACATACTATGCTATGACTTTTATCAATGCATTTTCATGACATACCATCCTATGACTTTTTTCTTTTTAACCATTTTAAATGCTATGAGTTTTTAATAACTTAGACATATTTAAAACTATGAACTTTTAAGGGCATACTATACTATGGCAGTTTTTATTACATTTTTATGAAATACTATACTATGACTTTTTTTATAACATATTTTACCATGGCATTTTTAATGAAAAACTATACTATGGATTTTAAACTGCAATTTTATCAGATACTATGCTATGATTTTTTTATGGCATACTGTACTATGACTTTTCATTTGTTATGTTTCCCTTGTAATCATCATATCCCACCTTCATCATCAAGGCAATTTCAGAGTGACCTTGACCTTCAACCACCAAATACCGACCAGTCTCATTCTTGTGAATGCTTCATCTCAAGAACACATTGAGGGAATTTCTTCAAAATTCGAGCAAACATTTACTTGGACTCAAGTATGAACTGATTAGATTCTGGTGATCAAAGGCAAGGTCAGTCTGGCCTTGCATCCCTCTCATTCTCATGAACTCAGTATTTTAAGAAGAACTTGAGGGAAATGTTCCCTTGCACCCAAGAAACAACTAATTAGAATTTGGTGGTCGAGTCAGTGTGACCTCACAAAATATGTTTTTGGCCACGACTCAAGAATTCATATGCCAATTATGACAAAATTTCACACAAATGTCTCATAGGATGACACAATGACATTTTATATCCAAAAGGTCAAGGGTCAACTTCAGTCAGCTCACTGTAACATCATTATGTTCTGCAAAAACATTTTCTGGCTATTTCTAAACATCATAAGTCAGTTACAGAAGGGGAGATGTTTGGTCCAATGCAGAATAGGTGACTCTAATCTTGGGTGCCTCCTACTATGATGACATACTATACTATGACTTTTTTTTTTTAAATAATTTTTTTGCTGTATGAATACCTATTAGATGATCTGGGTTGTTCATGATGGCCTCGAACATCTTCAGATGCACACTGAAGATGTTCGAGGCCATCATGAACAACTCAGATCGTCCACAACACCTTGATGGACCAAAAAAACTGTGGTGGACAGCTCCTCTCTCTTCGTTGTAGGACAGAGAGATACACAAGATCCTATATACCAACAGCAATCAGGCTTTATAATTCTTCGACATATAATAGATGAGCTGACAGATAATTGAATTTCCCCTTGGGGATGAATAAAGTTCTTATTCTTATTATGCTCTTTAAATACATATTGTGTTGTCACTATCTCTGTAGGTTCATTATTCACTTACTGTTCCAACAAGTAGGGGAGGTTGTTGCCTAGCAACAGCTGGAGTAGTATTTGAAGTAGCCTTCAAGTATTTTTTAGAACAGGGATGTTACAGCTCAGCTGTGCAGTTATCTGAAAATAATGTACATCTCCAGGAAAATTAGAGCAAGTGAGTCACCCTGGTCTAATACATTAATGCTGCCCATACAATGGATTCACTTTAGTGTTAGCAAATGTTTTGGTGCGTTCCAGGCAGGCTTTTGAACTCGTAAGTCACGACTTCAAGTCACGAGTTACGACTTTGTAGCGTTCCGAACATGGCGAACCGTTTGTTTGTGCTTCCCCATTATTGCTATCGCCAAAGGTACCTCCTTGCTTATTTGAGTGAAACGGAGGAGGATAGGGTCACAGATGCTAATAATAGCCTATAAAGGCTATTTTTTACGTTATCTGTGTGTTTGGAAACATATTTTGTATTGATTTATTCTTGCACTAGAAACCAGCTGTTAGAGCGGCTGCCAATAATGCGTTAACATTAGGGTTATTTTATGTCTATTTCTCACCATGTATTACCTGCATCAACACCGCATCCATAGGGCTGCCATTGTTGTTTAGGGGAGTAAGGTAATTGGTTTAGAGGGCTGTGTGACGTCAGAAACCGTAACTGGGAGTACATCGATCTGGTAAGAGTTCACGGGTGGGAAGTTACGGGTTTGACTGCCGTTCCAGTGCACTTTCACGGGTTACAGGTTGTGAAAACACGAGTTACGGGTTGCCTGGAACGCACCATTAGTCTTCATGCATGTATAGCTAAGTTGGATGTAAAATGGAGTCTAAATGAACTCAATTAACATCCCTTGTTTACATGTACACATTATAAAGCTCTGATAATTACTTTCTTATGTTTCAGATTGGATGGTTTCCCTCAACATACGTGGATGAAGAAGGAGTGCAGTAAGGCTTGGATGTTCGCTGGCGTGGCTCCCTTTAAATCAGGAACCATCTTCTATCTACTGTTCTCAGAGAAAATTACTCACTCTCTTTCTCCAGGAAAATAACACAAGGAAAAAAACAGAACTTTTTTTGTTGTTGTTTTTGCTGGATACTCATTTTTCAGAGAGTGTTTCTACCCCGTTTCTCTATCTTCAATTATGCATCAGCTTTGCTTTTGTTTGTATTTTATTTTTAGCAGGATGTCCTGTTTAATTTCTGTACAGGAAAGATGAAAAAATGGCTTGTTGTCTGTCAGCCTCTGTGTGCTCTGTAGAGGCTTTACTGAACTGAGGACACAGCAGAAACAGACTGTGGATAGCTTTACTTTGAAAAAAGCTCCCCTTTGTTGCAGGTCTATGCGAGTTGAAATAATTGTAAAGTATAGATAATTTATTGAATAGAGATTATTATCATTACTAATGATTATTGTGGGGGAGTTGATTTTAGCAGCAGCAATGAATCAGATGAGAAAAACTAAAAAAGAAAAAAAAAAGAAAAAGACAGATGCTGTGTTTTCATGTTGAGAGATTTTGCCTTAGTTGTCATGGTGATGCCTTGTGGGCTGACACCAGTGGAGGGAATCGACTTTGTTGACTGGTTTTACTTCTCCATGTATGCATGTGCCCATGTGCGGCCCACACAAACACACACACACACACACCCACAGACCAATGTACAGTACGGTGCCTTTGAAGAATGGTCGTTGCTTACTGAACCTCAACAGTAAAGAACATTGCCATCCCAAAAAAGACACATGAAGTCCACAGGGGACTGTGCTGAAGGAGGGGAGAGGCACTTATACTAAATACTGGAGACAGCTCGCCTTCTGAGCCCTCCAAAACAACATGGTGAAGCATTTAACTTATCCTAACAGGTGACTGGACGGACTCACAGAGACAGCCGGAGGGTTTTTAAAGCCAACAACAATCACATACACTGTCCACATCAGTCTTGGCGTCACGAGTCATTGGGTGCAAATCAGCTGGATGCAAAAGGGAAACATCAAGACATTCCACTGGACAACCACTTCACACTTTTAAATCTTGTGTATTTTTTTTTTTTTTTTTTTACACAGAATCAAGATTATTTTTTAGGATTTGAGAACTGGACAATTTATTATTTGAAGCCAAATTCAGCCATGTTTTAATGTCTGCATGGAGTTTGTTCAATTGTTATTATTTGTATTTGTACTTTGCCTTATTTTGACAGATGATCAGGTAATGGGATTTTTCCCCCCTTAATGTTTATCATTTTCCATGCGTGAAATTTGGTGCAGTGCAGACTGGTGAAAATTTAAACAGTGTCAGAAGATTTCTTTAATTCTGAAGGAAATGTATGTGCTAATTAACATGAATCGACAGAAGGAGCCCTTAATCATTCTGTGATTTTCTAGAGTTGTAGTGCTCAGTGTTTACATTTACGTCCAGTAATTTCCTAATGCCTTAAATATGGATTTACAGCCATTTAGACAGCAGTGTGTTGGCACAGAGCTTTCATCAGTTTTCTGTTGACCACAGATGCACCAAACGACTTTTTAATTCTAGTTATATAGATATTATGATGTTTACTGACCTTGTCAGCTCAGTCTACTTTGAAAGGATAGTTCAAATTGTGTTTACATTCAATTTGGTATACAGTATATTGACTAACTCTGTTTATATAGCCGTTAACCTTCATATCTTCCACCTCCACATGTTGATATGGCATTGATATATTGCTTGCTGCTTCCACTGAAACGTCTTTTCTTAGGTTTGAAAATGTCACGGTACACAAGAAGAAAGAAAACAAGAAATGTACTAGAAATGGAAATTATGGAAAGCAGCTGTTTTTATAGATTGAAGACTGAATTCATGCTAAAAGCAAAAAAAAAACAAACGTCATTAGAAGAATTTGAACTCACTCTCAAAGCATTCATATAGCCCACTGAGAAGTGAAGTGCAAACACTGAGCACGTCAGCTCTGGCTGGTTCACAAAGACTTATGGAGCAGAAGATGATGATATGTTTAGTTTCTAAACTTTTGACTGTCTATGATGTGTGTTATTGCAAAGGCTGACCGCCCCGAAAAACGCAAAGTCCTACCACTGTGTGAGGGGGACACACAGGAGGCCTCCATGTTGTCTAGACTGAGGGGTGGGGGGGATCTAGTCGCTGTTTATGTAGTGGACAAAATCCCATTGCATGTGGCTATTGATATAACAACTCCTGTCAATATGTCCTCAAAAAAATAAGTACTTAATCGTGTACATTTTTTTGAATGGTTGAGTATTTCCAAATAAGGTCTATCATGAAATAAATATTTCTCTCTTGGTTTAAATTTCAGACTGAATTGTTTTGTTGTATTTTTATTTTGTAAAGTGAGTTTTGGATGTTCCACTGCCAATAATAAAAACACCTGAACTCCCTCTTATAAAATTCAGGAAAACATTTATTTCAGTGTGCAGTTAAAAGTCAGAATAGATTAAATCACAATGTTTGTTCACAATAACATCCGGGTAGAAAACGCCTACGTCACCTATGTACAATTTAATGGCGCGGAGCATAAAAGAGTGGAGAAGGGTTTGGATTTCTTAGATTTCTATATGTTTAAAGACAGCTCTCAGCATGTGTTATTTCAAAGTGTATAGCGTAAAACTTAAATTATACGCCCAGTGTGGCGACACATTTTGACAAATACACACCTGTCTCAATTAGACACCTGTTCTACAAGTTTTGTTCTAACAGGATAAAGTGGTGTTGTATCGGTATGCTGATGGTATGCCTTAACTCACTGTCTCTGATGCGCTGTCTGTCAGAACTATATCAAATGAATGATTTAAAATTGATATACTATCTGAAGCAGTGGTTCCCAACTGGTGTAGACATGAGGTCATTAGTTCAAGGTCCATACAGGTTAATACACTGAGTGTCATACTTTGGTTTGCCCATGTTGTCGAGCTAGTTTGCTGTTTCTGTTAAGTAGCTGTTAGTCTCGCCACCAGACAATCAGAGATCTCCGCCTTCTGATAGTCTGGGGACACTCCTTTCTAAAGTGTGTTTAACACACTGGAGAAAACAGCCGGCAACAAAGCAACGCCTCTTGCATTTTTTAAAAGGACACGCCCTCCCGGAAATGGGCGCTCCCGCTTTTCTCATCCGCAAGGAAACAAACACACAGAGAGCTTGAAAATGGATGCCGAGAGATTTAACTCCGTTTTATCAAACGTGTGCTCAGTCCATAAGATTGTGGAAATGAAGGACGTACAGCGACTTTGTTTAAAACTTTTAATGCAGTCGGACTATGTTTACGAGCACAAGAGCTCAGTGAGCCACCGAAGGACCGCCCTGCGGATTTACTATTGGTTCTGCAACGTAGGAAGTTTTTTTAAACTCTGAAATTGTATCCGCCCATCTAAACACAAAATCAGGGAGAAAGTCATCAGTCTTTAGTTAAGCAAAGCGTCTAAGTAGCTGTGCGTTACTTACTCACTCTACAAACACAGGTTTGTGAGTCACTTGCGGTCCATTCAGAGTGGACCTGCGACCCACTTTTAGATTAAGACCAACCAGTTGGCAACCACTGATCTGAAACCTAAGTGGTTTGAATAAACAATTTGATCGTACTTCCCATCTTTGCTGTGCAACAGTTTTGTGTGAAAGGAAGTAAAGGCCTGTCCCAAATATAGACCCGCTGATTTCAGTGACTTAAGCAACTAGTCCAGGCTATTAATTTAAGTTTTACGGTACATCTAATTTATCTATAATGCATTAACGTTAGGTTGGAGACCTGGGCCCAATCCCATTTCTACCCCTCAAATCTTCCACTTGGTATTGAGTGCCCTCGTTTGGGGGAAGTGAGAAATATTAGGGTAGAAATCTTTCCCTAAGAAATGAGACACCACTTCATGCAAATCGGCGTGACCGACGTGCAGGCATACGTCACGTGTAGTAGCGGCGCAAGGTACCGGCGTGTGCTCCGTTTATTCTTCTCCGTCTCATGAATCAACAGAGAAGAAACGCTGAAAACAGGAGGTGCCTACGACGTCTTCTAGTTCTGATTGATTTTGTTCAGGTAAGTCGATTTGTTTAATTTGTTTTGACTCTGCGTTCAACCGAGTTGCTGATGAGTTGACGCTAGATACATTCCGGTCATACAGTAACAAATTGTTTTCCAAAACTTGCTGAAGTTGCTGATTTCGCAAGGTGTTCTGGGAAATTTTATCTTCCACTTCGTTGAAAGTGTGGGTCGGGGCTCCCTTGGAATCTGCATAATGATGGATTTGGTTTTTAGACGACGTTAGCAAAGTAACATAGTAATACATAAAATAAGCACAGCAGGAACGTCACATAGGTTGGAGTTCTGTGTTTAACTATATCTATAAACGCTAGAGTTACGGCTGATAAATGACAACGGAAATAAACGGGGATGCCTATTTCACATATCGCCGCAATTCAAATTACTGCCAGTTCTCTACCCAGATGTTGTATTTGTCTATAATAAGTTCTAGCATAAAGTCTTTGTTATGACAGTATTCACATCCATGTTGAATGAAATGATAGTGTTGCATTATTTAACAATAAAAGAACTTCATAAGTGACTACGCTTATCTCAAAGTAATTATCACAAACAATGTTAAATTCACCAGCACAGTTTAGAATTCAATTAATTAGACTCATTGCAGACGCACACTGTTCCAAATTTCAATTTCACGTGTCCAAATGGTCTTCAAGGATCTATTGAACCATCACAATGACAGTTAAATGCGTCTCACTTCAGTTCTGTTGTTCACTCTCACACTGCGTATCCGTACTTGCTGTCATATTCCACTGGTGCATACTTGAGGGGTGTATGTCCATGGCTGTTGCTGGAGGGAGTGTGTGTGTATCCGTCACTTAAAGAGCTCACCTCGGCGCTGCCAACCGGACAGTAAGTAACCTGCGGGTGCTGACTGGCGCTCCTGCTCGTGTGGCGACTGACTGGGCGGCTCTCGGGAGGCGGAGCGTCCTCCCTGTGATATCAGGGCAGAACAGAGTAAGAAAAGCAACAAAGGGTTTTACAACAGAGGACATTATTTCAGCTCAGTCATTCGAATTCAAAGAATTATTGCTTGATTTGTTTCACGAGGGGAATGGCTTTGAAGACAACTACAAGCTGAGTTTCATAATATGAAATCAGAACTGTAAAACCCATTTAGGGAGCTTTGTGTGCAGCTGCAGTGACTGTCATGTACACATGATTTTTACTGGAATTGGCTCTGCTCATGCTTGTTAACAGGGCTGAGAAATCAGCCCTGTTAACAAGCATGAGCAGCATAATTGTATAACTGTTTAGCACCATTTGCTTTCGCCGTACACTCATGCTGCTGTTATTTCTGATAGATAATCACGTCTGTGTGCTTGAGTCCATTTCCCACACCACAGTGAAGGTACAGAATTTACTGTTAACAGTTGAGTAATGCTTCTCTGTAGGTGCAGAGCACAAGTCTTTGTTGTCATAGCCTGTTTGAAGGTCTTTCTCATGCACTCTCAGTGAATCTCTGCATCCACTGCTTCTCTTCAGCTGAAGGAGAAAAGTCACTCTGATGCTGGTTTCAACCAGCAAACACTGACAATAAGCATACAGTGCAATCTTTCCTCGTCAACAGCGGTGCCAACATTCAAGCTTAGAAGCTACTTTGCATTCTGTATTTATGTAACTTTGCAGTACCAGCTGGGATCTGCTCCTCTGTCAAAGGAAACACCCGCACAACTGATTGACTTTGGCGTTTTCTGCTCCTGTGGAGGACAACGACTCAGATTTCTGCTGGTAAAGGGAATAAATTTGCTTTTGATAAGCTGTAATGGAGAATAATATGCTTCAAGTCTTTGGGGCTGTGATTCTTGGGCATGTAAGTGTTGCCATGCAACAAGAGAGGACTGCTGCGAACAGAAATGTTGACAGAACTAAACAGTAAATTAAACACCAATTAGGTATCTAATTTTAGGTTATTTCCATGGTTGTTTTGTTCTGACTGTGAAGTTCTTTGTCTTATCTTTTTCTTACTGCTGTGGCCTCATAATGTATTTCATTTTATTGTACTGTTTAGTAATTTGCAACCTGACAGGCAGTTTGTTTTCTAAGAAATGTTTTGGGAAGAACTACATTTGAAACATTTAATTCACTGCTTCAGGAGCAGCTTTAAAATCATTCTGTTCTAACTCATTCTGTCCCTGTGGATGGTACATAGATAATTACTTATTCAGAGCTCCTATAATTAATATTTTATAGTAATTACATATTGAATATTACTTGCTATATATTGAATATGTTAATTACTTCTGCAAAGCTGCACAATAATGAATATTTTGTTAATTACATCTTTAAGGCTGCTACATAATGAATATTTTTATTTCAACAATGGATCAAATGATTTTGTGTAATGTGAAAGTTGAAGCTCATCGTGACAAACCCCCAGATACAGTAATTATCCCCACTCTTTAAAGTTCCCCTCAGCTCTCTGAAGCTTTGTAGCATCTTTCAGCCCACTGTTTTGGTTTTTATGACACTGTGCTACATTACAGAGCAATACAAAACCGTACTAATGAATCTTCATTAATATAGGCCTATATTTTATCTACAAGTACACGTCACACACTGAGCGAGCCGCCTGTTAATGACACTGTGGGCTAATGGGCATGTAGCTACTTCCATGTTTCAGATGATACGTCATGTTTGTAGTTGACCAATGAAGATGAGTTTACATATCACCTTGGGTTCGTCCTTCACCTTCTCAAAATGATCTGAATGATCAAATGACTTTGTTTTTTTCTGCGATGAAGCGACCAACTAATGACCTTCCTGGTCGGCTAACATTTGGTCGACTATTAGGGGGCAGCCCTAGCCTTTACTGTCTCACTGCTCTCATTAGCAGAACATATTTCAGCACAGAAGCAGTGGAAACCAAACCAGAGCTAAAAAGGAAAGTGTATATTTGATTTATTCATGCAGCAGACAGAAAGATGACTCTGCTGAATGCTGCTGTATGTTTAACTGTTTGATGTGACATACAGATGACGGTTCAAAAAGCACAGCTGGTGTGGAGTGGTCTTTCCACTAAGATAAAAGCTGTTGATTTTGTGTTGTTAGTTTGTTTATCTGTCTGCCTTTCCGCGTACGTTTGTTTTTATATTTTATTTTCAAATTCCCTTTTGCAGAGTTGGAGTCTTATTTTTCTCATTGCATTTTTTTCAAATGCAGAGGATACAGTACTTGAACTGATTTGATACTCTGCATGACTCATCTCTGAACTTTTTTTCCCCCACTCAAGCCGTAATGTTTGTCTTTTTACCTTGAACACACCAGTAACTGACAGATGTGAGTGGAACTGTTGTTGCCATGGCTCAAATGATTACTGCTGTGCCGCACCTCTTGTATGAGCTTTCCACTACGATACCATGTTTATGTGAAGAGAGTTGAACTCCTGTATGTCACAGATATGGAGAAGGATTGTGGCTTGAAGTGCCTCTCTGTCTCTTGTACACAACACTGTCCTCCCACACTGACGCTGCTCCCATTTCAACATTTACTTTGAAAGCATGTGGGCTGTTTTCAACTGCATATGAACCACAACTCCAATTTTTTGGGGGAGACACTGTTTATATGCAGGAGGAGGAATCCTGTAAGAGATGTCAGGGTGGGAGGTCAGCAGCAGAACACTGGCTTGGAGCAGCTCTGCATTCTGCATTCTGCATACTGCGCACTGATTTACATCATCAGAGGAAGAAAAAAAGCACGAACCACGACCTTCTGTTTGAGACATTGTCCCACGCTGCCCTTTTCAACTTGTTACAGAGTTTGCATTGTTCCAGCTCAGGAGAGAGACCTCAACTAAAATAATATCAGCTAAAAATATACAACTGAAAAATGTGCAAATTGGATACTTGGACATGTGGATGGTGGAGTTTCGTCCCAAATTAGATGTCAACCATTTAAAAGCTGTGAGAATATTGTTACAAAATAAGAAGGTTTAATTTGCCAGTGAAGAAGCTGTGTTAAACTACGCTGCTACACACAGATGGAATCATCATCTTATCTGTGCCCAAACTTTAGCCTCTATCAAATGTTAATAAACAAGACAGAGGGCTCTATGTTTTCATCTGGCGCAAAGCAACACACAGCGCAACTGTCATTGCTAGTTTGACGACTGATGCAGTTGTGTACAAAGCACCTGCAACCAAAAACCATCAAAAATCATGTCTAAAGTCAAAGGCGCAGTATTTTCCTGCAATTGAAAGGGCATTATTCAGATAGTAAGATGTGCCTAGATAGGTGGGCTCACAATGTTCTTACACCATGCTTGTTACACACACACACACACACACACACACACACACACAGGGACATGGGAATGGGTTGCAGGTGTGTAAAAAACTAGATTATTAAGGAGGAAAATATTAATTATGTTATCTTATGTGAACATAAAAGAGAGCAGCGCTGCAGAGCTGCTGTCCAACTCCCTATATAGAACAACAATGTACAGTAAGCATTCACGCTCAAGGAGCTGCTTAACATCATAACTTCTAAAGCTAAAGGTTTACTCTTGTTTCATCAGTCAAGTTTATGACTACAGTTTTTAGTGTTGCTGCAGCGACATTTCTGCTTTTAATGCGTTACTCTAAACAAGAAACCACTCCCTTCTGATTACCCAAATGTGCCTTTTAAGTAGCAAGAAGAGATGACACTGATTTGCTACATTAACGTTATGACCAGAACACACATAGCTTATTAAGTGACTAAATAGAACCCCTTTGTACCTTGCACCTTACTTTGCACCCACATTATGAGCCATTTAACCAGCACAAGTGCAGTTGGACACGCCCTAAATGCACTTTACATCATGTGCTACAGACTGTTCAAAAAGGACCCTATGCTAATGCAAATGCTAGCAGCTCTGTGAGCTATATGTAGGCACAGCAGTGCTTTAAGCTAAATGCTAACGTCAGCGCACAATGGCAATGCGAACATGCTGATGTACTGCAAACAATGTTTACTGTGTTCATACTCTTTATAATTAACTGAATTTAGCATACAAAGATGCTAAACTGCACATTAACATAACATAACATCTTATCATCATCTTATCTGTTGCTGTGTGTATTCTTTAATATGTTTTTCTTTTTTAGCCATCCTGTGCCTAGCTTAACATCTTGCCAAAGGATTGGATTTTCTCTGTGTGACTGAGACGTGGCTGACTGTTGGTGAGTCCAGTGCTTTAACAGAACTTTTACCCAATGATTGCTGCTATTTTAACTCCCCAAGGACGTCGGGTCGAGGAGGAGGAACAGCGACTATTTATCAGAGTCACTATAAATGTAAGCAGCTAGGTAAGACGACGTATGCCGTCTGAGTGCCGTAAATTGTTTTGTCCTGGAAGCGACCTGGGGCGGACCCGGACACAATTTCCTAAAGGTATGGATATACACTATATAGAAATAGCTTATCTTCACACCGATGGTCTCATTTGCTGTTGTAGGTCACGCACAGACATCAGCAGAAACGAGAGACTTTTGCATATCCAGTTAAAAGTTCCTTGTAGCGGCTTTAAATAAATAAGTGAAATGAAATGCTCAGTCATCTGGCGGCTGCAGATGTTTGCACTTAATTTCATGGCAATCTCTTTAATAGTTGCTGAGATATTTAAGCCTGGACCAAAGTAGTAAACTGACCTGAACTGCCATCCTCAGAGCCAAGCTATCAACATGGCTAAAACTCTCTTGTTTTTGGGATCTTTTGAGTTATTTTCTCTAATTTACATTTATTTATTTGTGATAATTTGGGCCATTTTCAGTTTAGTTTATCTTATCTGTTGTTATGATGAGTAGAATATTTAAGGTCCAGTGTGTAGGATTTAGGGGCTTTTAGTGTAATCTAATGGTGAGGATTGCAGAATGCAGCAAGCTGGAAATTTCTCCTGGTTAGAATTCCTTCAGTGTTCACTGTTATGGAGATTTTTATCAGGAGCCAGATTGT